TGTGTGTGTGTGTGTGTGCATGCATAAACCAGCAAGGGCTTTCTGGAAGAGGGGGTACCCAGGGAAGGGGTGTGGCTGTGTGGCAAAGGGTGTTCTGGCAGGATAGGAATTACAGGGGCACTAGGAGTATGATGAGGCCCACACAGGTAGGCCCTTTGCAGCCTCCTCTTCATTCTCTTCTCTTTCCCCTTTCCCGGTGTCTGCAGTACCTGATGGAGGGCAGCTACAACAAAGTGTTCCTGGCCAAGGGTAACATCCCCGCCGAGAGCTACACCTTCTTCATTGACATCCTGCTGGACACCATCAGGTGTGTGGGGGGCCCGGGCCCTGTGGAGCTTGGAGTTTGGAAAGAACTTGGGCTTCGGCCAGACAGCTTTGAGTCTGAATCTCATTCCAGCCACCGGTTATCTGGGCAGGCTAGGTGTGTTTCTTATCCTCCTAGCACCTCAGCTCTCCTTTCCAGTGAATTGGGCCTGGTCGTGGGATTGTGGATAACAGCCCTCATCTCACCGCCCTTGGCTGTTGACACGTGTGGCCACATGTGTCAAACCTGCGCATGGGCTTGGCTGAGCAGGCAGGGACTGTGTGGCCTGTCTTAGCCCATCTTCCGTCCTAGACACCCATCCAGTGAGTCAAGAGACTTCACCTCCGACCACTGAAACTGTGGACCCTTCAGTTTCCCCTTCTCTAGAATGGGTTGACCAAATCCCAGCAGCCCCTTGGGTTGCTGTGTGCACAAGTGACATCCCATGGGCAGGTGGATGTGACATACAAATCCCTTGAGGAGTAAAAGGGTGTCGAAGTGGTGGCCGAGCTGGTTCACTTGGGCAGAGCACCAGATCAGAATGAGTTTCTGTGCCTTAGGTGGCAAAGGCGAGCCCAGAGGCATTTGAGTGAGGAGTGGTGGCCAGTACCACTACCCACCGCGTGGCCTAAGTGATGTCGGAGGCACTCCTCCCTGTCACTGGCTTTTCCCCAGAGCTAACCCCCTCCCCCACTATAGCGACTTAATTCCTTGCTCTTTTTCTACTTTGGTGGTGTTCATGGTGCCTCTTGATGGGTACAAGGAACCCCTCAGGATCTATGAAGCGGGGTGTAGCACCCTGGTGATGTTTGTTTTGAGAAGAGGTGCCCTCATGTGAATCCCAAGCTGGGTTTCAGACCTGAAATCATGTGGCTGGCAGTGAGATTCAGAGTGTGGGCCCAGGAGTCAGAGAGTTCAGTGGGGATCTCCTGTGGCCCTTGCTTGCTTTGTGAGTCTGGTCAAGTTTCTCCCGCTCTGAGCCTTGATGAATAAAACAGGGCCCCTCACATTCCTGCCATCAGTGCTGAACTCCAGGGTCAGAGCTGACTCGTGTCAGGTTTGGGGGAACAGGTCCTGGGTGGTTGTCGATGCTCAGTAATGAGGAGCTTCTCATCTTCCCCCAGGGATGAGATCGCTGGGTGCATCGAGAAGGCCTACGAGAAAATCCTTTTCACTGAGGCCACCCGGATCCTCTTCTTCAACACACCCAAAAAGATGACCGACTACGCCAAGAAGGTGGCTGGGGTACAGGGCAAGGGGCCATGGGACCAAGGGGTGAAATCACTAACAACAGTGTGGGGTGGCTTTGAGGGACACTGGAACAAGACTGCCCAGGTTTAAGTGCGTGACTCTAGGCAAGCTGCCAAAGCTCTCTGAGCCTCAGTTTCTCTGTCCACAGAATGGAGCTAGATACATAGGATGAGCTTAGTGCTGGCACCAGCTAGAGGTGGGCAGAGGTGGGCGCTGCATGCATGTTGGCTGCTGTCTTTATCAAAATTTCTTAGAAGTGGCAGCTTTTTCTGCAAGACTTTGCTTCATTTGGTCTCAGACGTTTGAGCACGAGCAATGCTTGGTGTTGCAATAGGAGGGCCGGACCAGGCTATGGAAGGTGAAACTGGGTGGGCGCAGTGGCTCACACACACTGAGGTGGATCTTCCCACCTAGGCTCACTCTGGGAGGCTGAGGTGGGAGGATCACCTGAGGTCAGGAGTTCGAGACCAGCCTGGTCAACATGGTGAAACCCCGTCTCTACTAAAAAATACAAAAAAATTAGCTGGATGTGGTGGCGGGTGCCTGTAATCCCAGCTACTTGGGAGACTGAGGCATGAGAATTGCTTGAACCCAGGAGGCGGAGGTTGCAGTGAGCCGAGATCACACCATTGCACTGCAGCCTGGGCGACAGAGCGAGACTCCGTCTGGGGAAAAAAAAAAAAAAAGAAGGTGAAATTGAATTTGAGTGAGGGTGACAGCTGAAACTATCACTCGGGCCAAACACTATCCTCGGTGCTTTAAAGGTGTTGATTCACCAAATCCTCACAGTCGACCCAGAGAGGTGTGTAGTTAGGGTCCCAGTGTCAACACAGAGAAACTGAGGCACAGAGGTGAAGTTACTTGTCAAGAGTCGTTGAGGTAGAGTAGAGTTGGTGAGAAAAGACAGTATAGGCAAGTGCTGGCTCCATAGGGTGGGGACGGAGCCTTTGTGATCACCCTACCCATCTCTGATCCCTCCTTTCCTGCAGCGAGGGTGGGTCCTGGGCCCCAGCAACTACTACAGTTTTGCCAGCCAGCAGCAGAAGCCGGAAGACACCACCATTCCCTCCACAGAACTGGCCAAACAGGTCATCGAGTATGCCCGGCAGCTGGAGATGATCGTCTGAGCCCACTGGGCACTGGGTGGGGCAGGGCATGAGTTATTTAAAACAGTTACACTGCAGGGTTTTGTCCAATAAAGGTGGATTGACATTCCCTCTTCCAGGCCCTTGTCTCCCCAGTTGGGATGGCAGAGAGACAAGTATCTCTGAAGAACTTGGAGGTTTTGGGGCGCTCAGGGGTTGGAGATAACACCCTCCACTGGGTAAGCCTCTGTTTGGTTGGGCATTGCTCAGGGCCTCAAACACAGACGCCCACTGTAGGGCCCAGCAGCACTGTGGCCTGCAGGAGGGCATGGCCCCAGGTAGGGGGACTGTTCTAGCCAACTGTGGACACACAGGAATGCTGGGCCAGGGTACCAGATTTTTTCAACAAAGCGGGTGAAGTGTCCTATTAAAAAGAATAAATGTTGGTGATGAATTAAACAATTTTTCAAATGATATGTGAAATGGAACCCGTCTGTAGGCTGCCAGTTTGAGCCCTGTGCGGATCAAAAGGTGTGGGCCCTGGTGTGGGCTTGTGGCTCCCACCCTCCCTGAGCCGGCGTGTGATTGAGGACCTCCCCGCACACCCCTCAGCCTAGGTTTCCTGCCTTGAAATTCTTGGGAAGGTGTTCAAGGCGCAGGGTCCAAATCTGGCTGAATCCCTTGTGGGATGTGGAAATTTCACAAGTGTTCCAGAGTTAGTTTTCCCAACTGTAAAATGGGAATGATCACTCCTTTGCACAGTGGTTTGTGCTGAGCCTGTGAGCTTGGTACCAGGTCAGCTCAGAATTAGGGCTTATGGATTGAGGGGAATCAGATCCCCCCTGCCCTGGGCCCATCAGTCTGGGTGCTGGGTGAATGGAACCTCAGTTACTGCTGCTCTGGTCCAGCCTCCCTTTTGTTCCCAAGATGTGCTTTAATGGCGAGCCTGCCCTGCTGTACCCTACCCACTACCTTGGCAAGTGATTGACAGGCTGCTGGCATCTGGATTGGTTATTTTATTGTCATGGAGGGGAAGGTGGAGAGTGTTGAGCCGACTGCACTCAGTTGGAATGGGTGGCCTGCAGGTCGTAGTGCTCCAGCCCAGCCACCAGGGAGCCGGCCAGCTTGATGGTGGCAACCCAGGGTGGCTCGCCCAGGTGGTTGGTGGGTGTGCTCAGCCTAGGGGGGAGGATAGAGTCAGCAAAGCCTGGCAATGTGACCAGGCCCCTAGCCCTTCTAGGGCCTCCCTGTCCCCATATGAATAAGGAAGCTTCTGAAGGCCATATTGGAATATCCCAAAGGCAGTTCAGGGCAGGGCTGTGTCCACCTAATAGGAAAGGGAGCTGAGGACTGGAGAGTGTCACAGCTAAGCCTCAAGAGGTCCAGGGCAGTCTCCCAGTGGTTCAGCACTCCCAGGAGCCAGGATCAGACCCCAGTGGCCAGATCTGGTGATTCAGTGTGGGTAGGGGGTAGCTGGAGGATGCAGTGTCCCCCTTGGATGAGAGACTCAGGAGGAGCCTCCCCAGCACAAGAGCTGTGACATCAGTGCCCTCTGGTGGCAGAAGCCTTGAGTCCCAGAGTCAGGAGAAGTTGCCAGAGGCTAGAGGGGTCAGGAGTCCAGGGCTGCCCCTGTGCCCAGTAACGTTGGAGGCCTGCATGTACCCCCATTTGGTTCCAGGAAGACAGTCATCTCACCCCCATCCCTGAGTGGCCTGGGATGTGGTCCTCCTTGATACCCTCAAGGACAGGGTCAAGGCAGTGTATAGGGTCAGGCCAGCTGGGACCAGCCTCCCTCTCTGATGGCTCCAAGAGAAGTACAGGAGGGCCAAGAATCCACTTAGGTATCGGATGCCATAGGGCTGGGCCAGGGTGTCCCCTTTCCCGTCAAAGGTCAGCATGGGATCAAGGGTCCTCTTGGTCCTGAAAGGTGGAGCTCAGCTAGGTTTGAGATGTGGTGGAGAGGAAGGACACGGGTCATTCTAGGGCCAGGAAACCAAAGGGTTGAGTAGGACTCTATCCAGCAGTCTGGGGTTGGGCACCCTCCGGTCCCTTCTCCCTTCCTCTCACCAGGCAGAGACGTTGCGTGGCAGGCGGCGATGGCGTGGCTGGTGGCGGCAGTAACACTTGCAGGGACAGGAGTTAAGCACCTGGAAGGGCGGCCAGTGGCGCGCCGCGCGGGTGTTAGCTGCCCCAGTCTGAGAGGCCCCGCTGCCACCACCCCCTCCATCGCTGCTGTCCAGCACTGTAGCTGTAGCTCCTTCACGAGGACCGTCTCCAGGCAAGCCATCCTCACGGGTTGCGCCCCGGGCTGCACGGGAACCCTTGTTCCTGCGCGTGCGGGTCTTGATGGGTGCAGCCGCGGGTGCGGGC